TTATCCCCCCAAATACTTCCAAAGTGTATTTTAGAGAAGTAGCTCTAAAAATATACTGTTCTTTTACATCCTAACAAACACGGAACCCTAAACACAATCAAACCTTTACTCCTGCTAACATTCAAGTCTTGACACCATCGAACAACATAGCTTCCCAGCCCTAATTTCCCACAACCCTCTGCTCTAATCAAACTAATGCAGTGTTCTCATTGTTCACAAGAGCCTTCCTGCCTCTTTAATGACCAGCCACTGCTGGTCACTACGGCTGGAAATGACTGCAGCCTTCAACTGCTCCTCTTACTGGGCTACCTTTCTAGGTATCTATCCATCCCGAAGCTCTTCAAAAGCCACTCCTTTCCTTGCCCAGGGCCTAGTACAGCACAGACACACAGTATATTCACAATATATGTTTCTGAGGATGAACTCAATGAAAAAGAAAGTATATTGTGAAGGGATAATCTGGACACTACTGAGATATTAGCTGACTGTCCCTAAACTGTCCCACACTAGTCAGCAGTTATAACTAATTAATCTTCCATTTCCTTAAACATTGTTAGATGTTATTTCTCAAGTGTTTCAGCCCCTAGTAGCCCCTTTCTACTACTAATAAGACATTGAATTTTTATAATATAATTACCAACTGCAAAGGGCTTTGAGCCAGGATACTTGCAATGGAACATGCCTTAGCACAATGCAGCCAACATGCTGGGAAACAAACAAAATACTGTAAGCACACGGAATAGGTTATGTCCCTACTGATTTGCTGATTCAACAAAAAATCTGTTGAGAATCAGGCTAACCAGAGTACTAGTGACACAGCAATGGGCAAAATAAATGCAGGCACAAGAAAAATCTTTGTTTTCATGGAGCTCACTTTCCAATTTTATTTGAGAAATACAAGTAAGAGAAAGAATAGGTAATATGAAAAGTAGAGATGAGTATTCAGACAAAAAATAAAGCGTGATAAAAGGACAGAGGGTGGGAGGGAAGGCAGAGCAGCTCTTTCTAAGAAGCAGACCTTTGAGCAGAAAGAAGCTTGATAGACATACGGTCAGGACATAAGCCTACAGAGATCTGAGGGGAGATATTCAAGGGCAAAGGCCTCGGAGGCAGGAGGGGGTAGGCAGGTTCCAAGTTAGCAAGGACACCAGCGTGGCTGAACTAGAATGAGTGGTGCGACAGGGTTAACAGACACCCTCTGTACTCGACAAAAAATAGACACACACAATCCCCGAAAAGGGCAGTGAAGGCAATCACTTATGAAAATCTCATCTTCACCAGTACTTAACTTATGAAAAAACTAGGTAAGGTTTCTTAGATTAAATGATAATGTAAAAACCTGCAGGTGAGGGCCGGGCTGAGAATGAATGTTCACAGGCTGATGAAGGAGAATGCACCAATGGACCCCAGAGGAAGAGGCTGCCTGTCTGGCCGGGGCCCACAGAAAGGCCCACTCTGAGCAGATGTCCCAGGGACCTGTCAGAGTGGTGGCACCAGAGAAAAGGAGGAGGGCCTGTCCTGACAACGGCATCGTCATTTACAACTAACAGTGAGAGCTCTGAAAAAACTACAGCAACAAAAACAGACAAAAAGACATAAAAGGAAAAAAATCCAGTTCTAGCCACCAAAATGACTTCTATTTCATAATTAAAAAGCATCACAAACAGTCTCCAAAACATAAGTTTGGGGTCCATACACTCTAACTGCTTCTGATGCTAGGACCCCACTTAACCTGCACCGCTGGTGGAGTCCCGGGGTCTCAACCATTACAGTAACGCTAAGAGCTGACACACGGTCACCTCAGTGTGCTGCTTCCAGCTCTGTCCTGCCAACGCCTTCTTCTTAGGATCCCCTCTATTAATGTCCTGAGAAAAATACCTTTATCTTACTTTATTCCTTACCCACTCACTTCCTTGAGATCAAGGAGCAGGTCTAATAATTATAGACAAGGCTTTACTTTTGGAATACAATTCGAGTGGATCAACCCAATATAGACTGAAAAATGTCAAATCATAAGCCCATGCATGACTTAATCTTTACTTTAAATATATAAATGCTGAGAGGAGTTAAGGAAGGAATCCTGTAAGAAGGGCAATTTTAACCCGACTGAAGATTAACAATCTCAGAGAATTAATATTTTATCAAGAAATCCAAACTGCAATATTGACTTGAAAGTCAATTTTCATCATTATTCCTTCAAATTCTGGGAGTTTAGGAAGTTAATTTAAAATTCAGTTTATAGATCTCTAAATATCTATGTTCTCGATAATCACTTGCTTTCAATATTAACGAAATGATTTCACAGTCTCACTTCACAGTAAGCTAGTCTAGAATTGCCCTCGGTGGCCAAGAGAACCAGATTCCTCTTGCTGTTCACCTGCGAGTGCAGCACTGGCGTGCCGAGGTTAACGTGAAAGCTTATACTGAGACTGCTGATGCTCAGGTGAGAGCATCCGGTTCCCACATGTCAATGTTCCTCTTTAAATTATAAGCTGATCTGTAACGCTGCACTATAGTTACAGTAGATGAAACACTGCAAGAGTAGTTTGCTTTCACATGGAAACAGTTACCAAGACAAACCTTGGAGGATGGAGTTCCAAGAATATTAAATCATAAGAAATTGTTTCAGCAGCTGGTTAAAGCTGAGTGTACATAACACAAGACATCTGGTTGTCTGTGCATTTTCAGTTCATTTAAAAAGTATAAACACATTAAAACACTGAAATGTTTGATATATTACAACACTGTCTGCTTGCTCCCCAAGAGTGTTTAAGTGGCTGGTCTAGTCATTGTACTCAAGGCTTATTTACTAGCTAAAGGGATTTACTATTTCCATCCCCCTTAACTTCAAGATATATTATCAACCAAGGAAAAAAAGAAGATATTGCTGGTATTTGTAAGGACATAATGTAATAGAGGTAGTGCTATTTCTAAAATTAAATCAGGAACACATGAAGCATCACACATACTGTGACAAGTAAACAGCAGACAACGTTTACTGTTACATATGCTCTCCCTCCCACATCTGACCATATGTAACAGAAACCTAACCACAGTGGCTTAACCAAAATAAGGGTTTATTTGCTTCACGTAAGAAGAAATCCAAAGATAAGCGATCTAGGGTTGGTGTAATAGTTCCAGAGTATCATACATACCCCATGCTCCCGGGACACTGTTCTTTGCATGCTGCAGTCATCATCATACTTTTAAGATGCCTAAATGGCACCTCCACATTCCAGGAAGGAAGAGAAGGACAAAGAGCAAAAAGCTAAAGGTAAGTGCTCTACAAGCTTCCAACTTCTGCTCACATAAAACTGGCCCAGACTATCACAGGGCCACATTTCAACACATTCAATTCCCAAGATGCCTGAACACTAAGCTGGGCATACACTGTCCCCCCCAAACAATACTGGAGATCTGTTGGAAAGGAGGGTGAGGGCTCTAACCGATTTGGCTCAGTGGATAGAGCGTCAACCTGCGGACTCAAGGGTCCCAGGTTCGATTCCAGTCAAGGGCATGTACCTGGGTTGTGGACAAATCCCCAGGAGGGAGTGTGCAGGAAGCAGCTGATCGATGTTTGTAATCTTCTATCCCTCTCCCTTCCTCTCTGTAAAAAATCAATAAAATATATTTAAAATAATAAAAATCATCATTCTCCCCTTTAAAAAAAAAAAAAAGAAAGAAAGGAGGGGGAGGAAAAGAGATAAGGCATGCTAATCGCTGTGTCCGTCGCAAGAGCTCAACGTGCATGGGCCCTGCCTTCCAAGCTATACAAGCTCCAAACCACAACAGGGTTTGGTGGATCCCGTTTCTAAATCTACATTACAATTCTGGATGCTGCACTTATGCACAACAGAGGCCAGGAGCCCATTTTCCACAAATACCTGTCTTTCCTTTTTGGACTATAGGCAAATAGCACATTTCCAACGATATCCCCATGTAGATTGAGATTCTATGATGATGAATCTTAAAATCTACTTCTTTATTTAAAACATAATTTCTTTAAAACATGCATTTTCAATGGAGATGATATGACACCCCCCCCCCCCGAGAATAAAAATTAGTTCTTTAAGGTGAAAAACATCACAGATATTATAATGATTCATGGTGCTCCAAGGGGGGAGGGACAATTAAGAAAAAGAAGTCTAAAAGGGTTCCTCAAAGAGACAATTTTTAAAAAGGCTGACAGTAACTGCTCTAAAAATAACAAACATTTTGAATCATGCTGGAATGGCATTCAGTTGCAGTGACAGAAATCCATTACCATAAACAAATAAGGGTCTATGTTTCCCACATGAGAAGTCCAGAGGGCAACAGGGGGTGGGGGGACTAGAAGTTGATGACTTTGGTTCAGCAGCTCAATGGCATCAAAGCAGAATTTTCGGTGAGTCTCTTGGCTCATGGCGCCAAGATGGCCACATAATTCAAAGGACCATGTTCACATTCCAAACAGCAGGAAAGAGGGCTGTCAAGAACAGAAAGATAGGACTCCTGGGGGAGCCAGGTCCCCTTAAAAGAGCTTTACTCATACTTTCATGGAGAAATTCCCCCTATATCTCAATGACCACATCTACCTTCAAGAAAAGATAGACATGAAAATCCAAAACTGGCCATTAATCAAAGCAGGACGTAAGAAAGAAGGGGAGAACAAATAATGGGTGAACAACTAGCTGCACCTACCACATATGAATTTGTTTCTAATTGCTTTTCTCTTAAACCCTGTTAACAGAGATTTGTAAGTTCATTTATTACAGAGATTAATCTAATTCTGTGCCTACCATATGCTTAGTATTGTTAACAACTTAAAATTGTTTTGATGATGGATAGTCAGAGTTTAAATATTACTGGGAAAGAGAGATAGAAGAACTCCATGAATGTACTACCCTTAAAAGGCATGCATAAAAGTACTACACTAGGACCCACAAACTCTTCAACATCATCAATTACCATCTTCACGATACAAAGAAGATAAAACAAACCCTGATGTAGCCAGAACTTACATGAGTGGAATATCAGTGATTAACTGCATCAAACAGCAGACTAATTCTTCCAAAAGATCTTCTGAGTCAGAACCTGATAAGATACACAAAAAGTTTGTTAACAAAGTATAAAATAGAATGGAATTGTTTAGAAGTTCAGTTTTCATTCCTAAAGAGAATAAGAATAATTATTACATAAACTCAGACATTAATGCTGGCCTCTGAATAAAATCCAAATCCTGAGTAAGTTAGCATCGATTATGATTTTCATCTACAGAGGAATTTTGAACACCAGCTATCAATTATACAGTTTTTAACATTTGAAGGTAACTATGACTCCTGTAGGCCAGTAGTATTCAAACTTCTTATAGTGCACTATGTTTTTTCAAATGAAATCTTACATACTAAGCCAAATATATAAAATACATGAAAAAGCAAGCTGCTCTAGCTGCTTTGTTTGAATCAGGAGTAGACACCCCTCAGCCCCCTAAATATCTGGCCTTGCCCTTGCTCTTCTTGATAGACCTCAAGAACCTTTTCTGAACCCGTGGGGACTCCACAGATGACAGACTGAAACCGAGAAAGAGGCCAGACACCTACCTCTTCACAGACAAAAAGCCAAAGGTAAAGTGGATTTCCAAGTCCTATGAACAAGTGGCAAAGGCAGGTTACAAATTACCCTCCCAGGGGAAATGCCCCTCTGTCCCATACCGCTCCGAGTGACGTCTGGCTTTGGACAATACGGAGACACCTACTCTTTCTTCCCCAGCTCCTATGACACCCTATTTCTAACCTACCTCTCTCTCTATTTATTCCCAGGACCCACTTCCCCAGAATGCCCTTCAACTACTGGTACGCTCCTCAGAGTGCCACCACTGGCTTTCTTCTCCTCGTCTCGCTCCCCATGATCTCCCTTATTAGTCATCACTTGTATGCTGGCGATTCCTACGGTTTTCCTCTTGTCTCTCCACTGAACTTCATCTTTATATCCAACTGTCTGCTGACCATCTCCACCTAGATCAGCGGTTCTCAACCTGTGGGTCGCGACCCCTTTGGCGGTCTAACGACCCTTTCACAGGGGTCGCCTAAGACCATCCTGCATATCAGATATTTACATTACGATTCATAACAGTAGCAACATTACAGTTATGAAGTAGCAACGAAAATAATTTTATGGTTGGGTCACAACATGAGGAACTGTATTTAAAGGGCCAGAAGGTTGAGAACCACTGACCTAGATGCATCACCAATACGTTCAAGCTCAATACGTTCAAAACTGAACTCATTTGTCCCAACGCTTCAAATCCACTTCCTTGTTCTTTATTCTCCTTCTCGGTGACTACATCAGTGAACCCAAACCCAAAACACAGACTATTCTCTCTCTTATTCTTCTCAAGGTCCTATCAATTACACAGTCACCTCTCTGTCATTCACTCGTTTCTTCATTTCCCGTCATGCCTTCGTTCATTATTGCATGATCTCAGTTCAGTTAAACACGTTTATTAAATTAAAACTCCTGAACTTCTTTAAACCTTCCTACTAGTATTCCTACAAATTTGCTCCTCTCCAATCCAAACTCAAGATTATCAGAGGGACCTAACTACAGTCCATCCTTTCATTCTCCTGCCTTAGACCTTTATAATTGCTTTAAGCTGATTACTATGCATCAGAAAGAACTCCAAGCTCCAAAGTACAGCATGCCAGACCCTTAGAGATACAGGCCCTGCATCCCTTTCTACCTTTGTTTCCCACCATTATTCCTTTCACAATTTATACTCCAGAGACACCAAACTACCTGCTACATGCCACTTTATGCCTCCTCAATAACATTCTGCCTGGAATGCCCTCCAACAATAAAAATCTAATTTTTTTAAAAAGCCAATTTTTATCTACCTGAACCATCCTAAATCTTCATTTCCTCCATAAAACCCAACTCTCTTGGCTCCCCTTGAACAAAAATAATCATCTAGGCCGCATCTATGCCTTGTTCATATGTCTTTCATTGCATAATTTGGTTACATTGTATCATAATTTCTCTCTACATGTAAGCAGGCTTCTATTGGACTCTGTATTTCTCAAGGATGATGACTAAGAGCTTGGCATGTGATGTATACTCAATACATGTTTGCTCAACTGAACCCAGCTGTCTAAGTATAAATCTAATGGTTATTTCCAAAGCATCAAAGCACTTGGAGTCTCGAAAAAATTTAGCAATTCTTTTTTCTAGACCACAATCACCTTAGTAGTCAGGAATTATGCAGAAACCCCTTCCTGCCTTGCCATAAATAGAACTGGCACAGCAACCCTCTGAGAGGTGAGTGCCAAGCTTGAAGAGAACATGAAGTCACAATGAACACACCAATCAAGGCTAAGAAGAATGAATACACAGCAAGATCAAATTCAATAACCACATTAAATCTCACTCTAAAAGAGGTAGGCTTATTAGCTCAACAAGTGAAGAAAGTAAAACAAGGAAATAAGTAGCAGTTGTCTCTGAGGCTACACAACAAGCAGATCTAACTAAAATCCTCCTCATTGTCAAAGCTGTCCAACATAACCCACATGAATTAACAACCTATTCCAACAAGCTCATTTGCTGACATATAATATATATTCAATATGTTTGTTAAACCATCATTCCCTGACTCATCCTACAGAATGTATTGATCCAGACCCAAGAAGAACATTTAAAATCTTCACTGATTTCTTAAAGAACATTTCAGACCAAACGAGTTGGACAGTTTAATAACATACCCTTATTTAGCCAAGCAGCCAGCAGTGTTTTAATTACAGAAGGTGAAGAAACAAGCACTCAGAATTCACAGATGGTGCCTGATTGTTCTATTTTTCTTCCAGGGGTGTAAACACATCTGATTTTTAAATCTTAAAATGGTGACAAGAACTCTCTATCCAGTTCTATGTGCCATCCAAATCATGACCTCGGCCAAGTTTACAGCTGCGTCAATTAAGGAATATATTCACAGCTTTGTTATCAATTTAACATCATGAAAATGATAAAAAAAAAAAAGGCATACAAGTAAAATGTAACATATCAAGGCCAAAGCTCTAACAAAACAAAAGACAAGAATAAAGAATTTCCAGCTGAAATCTCTGACAACTTCCGTTTACTTTAAGAAGAAAATCCTGCAGAATACTATATGCTTGTTCTGAGCTAATCTAGAAGCAAATAATTGCATATCAAGTGAAGAATGATGAGATTTGACTGCTTAGCAGGTTTGACATCAAGCAAAAGTCACTTCTACTGCTTTATTTTCGAAGCAGTACTTATATCATTCAGCTTTCATATGAGGATAAATATCTTTCTTATTTCCAATAAAAATAAGTAAATATAAAGTCTCCTGCCAGAAATTATGTAACTCACTCATGCATCTCAAGAAAAATGATCTTAAAAGTCCTTGAAATTTGAAAGACACAGTAAACTGAGGTTCTTTGAGCAAAGGACTTTGCAGAGATTCAGTATGTTTATTGTACTGTGAAGTTTACAACTCGGTTTTATCTCTTTAAGAGTTTTAAATTGCCTCTACAGCTGCAGTCAAATATTTTAGTAGTTTAAATCTTAGCTTCTGGATAAAATATTAATAGCTAACATTTGAGAACTCTACCCTTGAAGAGGCACTGTGTTATTTCATTCTCTTTATCCCACATTAATCCTGATAATAACTATTAAGGTGCAGGTATGATCATCATCCTTTTACAGATGAAGAATCAAGGCCCACTGATATTAGTTTACTTACAGTAAGGGGCAGAGCCCAGATTTGGCCCAAATCCAGACTCCCAAAAAAAGGAAAAGAAAAAAACAACCTAATGAATTATTTTTTCTATTGTTTATTTTTATTATTGAGAGTATTTCAGATGTCCCCCTGTGCCCACCCCCCCGCCACCAATTGCCCTGCTCCACCCAGCCTTCCCTGCCCCTGTCCTTCACCACCCTACTGTCCGTGTCCAAGGGCAATGAATATATGCCTATACGTTCTTTGGTTAATCTCTTCCTGTCCCCTTTCCCTCTGAGATTCATCAGTCTGTTCCATGTTCCCATTATTTTTAAAGACCTGTTATTATACAAAGTTGGGGGGAAAATCCAGTCAACCATTCCATGTTTCACTGAAGACCCTAAAGACAAACCCCCTGGTAAGAGAGTACTATGAACCACACTAGGGAAGAAATCTGAAATACCACATATTAGTTTACACATCCAGGTGATATATTATACATTTACCAACGCATACTGAAAGTCCTTGAATTAAATATCCAATTTGGAAGTAATTTCACACAATGAATAAATATAAACTATTATCATCAGTATTATGCAAACTGAAATCTCACCCCTATCCCTAGGGTTCTCTCACTCTAAAGCCCTAACCCCACGTCTCTGATCTCTATGAGCGTCACCAGAGGAAGAAGCAAAGAAAGACAAGGTGATATTTGTGGTCCTAACAGCTCCAATAATCCATACCTGAAACTAAGCTTCGGTTCTTGTTCTTTCTGTTCGGCACCCTCCGGTACCAAACACTAAGATACCGCGCTCTCATTTTGGCCTTAGGGGCTGGACCAGAGCATGGTAGAATCATGTCATAATCAAATGTCTTCCATCAGAGTGGGAGGGGAGAGAGGGCAAAATTATTTTTAAAAACCACTCACTTGAAGAAGAGAAAAAACAGTGCTGGTGGAAAGCAAAGAAGTGGCCAGAAAAAAGAAACACATGGGTTATTTAAATCAGGTTACATGTAATTATTAAAAAATATATTAACAGATAGAGAGTTAATCTTTGCTGTTTTCTTTACATTAGTAAAGTCAAGCTGTTATTTCTCAATGCTACCCAATACCACACTGTGACAAATACAAGCACTTACTCAATCAAGAAATAACAGAGCGAGAGAAACCAAGATGGCAGCATAGGTAAACACCTGAAATTGATGCCTCACACAACCACTTCAAAATACAACTAGAAGACAAAACGGACATTATCCAGAACCACAGGAAGGCTGGCTGAGTGGAAATTCAACAACTAGAAGGAAAGAGAAAAGCACACTGAGACTCAGAGGAGGTG